CTGAACCCAAATTCGGTTTCAACCCACTCTTTGTAGGTTATAAATAAAAGCCAATGACACCTATTATAACCTAGACTGTTCATTCGTTGATCAAAATGGATTAAGAAGTGTATAACATACATTAGAGTCAGCCATTGAAAGGCGTTTACACGAAATGGGTCTTTCAGTGGGGTCTAATAACAGCCAATGACATTGTTTACACACACTTTTAGTTATGTTAATCACATTTGGGTAAAAAAAATGCTATAAATTTAAATTACATAAAAATATCTTCTCTTTTTTATTGGAAGTTTATTTATTTTTTTCCACGAAAGAATTTTTCGAATTCACCAAAATGACAATAATAATATCGTCCATTTTGGAAGTATTTGTTATGGTAATTATGCTGACTCAATTATATACTGATCATATATACAAATTGGCGGCGGCGCATGATTTACTCTTGTTGATAGCAAGTTAATATTATATATATTTTTTTATGAAGGGATAATTATGATTGGCTTAAAATCAAAATCGTCATCATCGAATAATTTTAAATATTTGTTCAAATCTTTGTGATATTTAAGCGTTAATTAATTAACCGTAGATCCAGATAGCTACCGACACATTTAGAGGATTCATAAATCTCATCATGTGAGTTAGATAGGGCTGAATTTTTGTCGCGCTTTTACATACTTATTTTAACTAAATTTCATTTTATACGTACTGCGCATGCGCCGATTTTAACAAATCGTAAATAACAAAGTCATAGTGAAAATGGATGGAATGGTTTCGTTTGATATTGGAACCTCGATGCATCCAGACTACTTGGTCAGACATTTTAACCATCAATTCATGTTCAAGGTATATTTTTTTAATCATCTGGTAATACAGCTAATATTGTTAGATCACCCTGACTTTGGCCAATCATGTTACATAAATATCACATTATATGAGACCTACATGCCCAGCCCGGGTAGAGCCGGTTTTTTAAATACCGACCGGTATAACTAAAACCCGGGCGGGTCGTATATTTTTTAAACCCGAGCCGAGAGTTACAAATGGTACCTCTGAAGGTCTCTGATATATATAAAATACCCAATACCTACGTAATATATAAAAATCCGACCAATCCGATTTTCAAATAAGTTATGCGCAATCCAAAACGGGATAACCAAGTTTTTATTCCAGCGTCCCATTTTTGTTGCTTAGCCTCTCATCTCAGAAGGTCATACGTCAGCTGGTAGAAGTCAGGTGATTTAAAACAACACACGAGCTCACCATTTTTATTTTATTTATTCTTTTTTAAATTAACGTCCGTTACTTTTTTTTATGTAACTAAATATCATAACATATGTTCTTATAATGGTGAATATATCGTAGGGGGGTTCAGCAAATCTTTAAAAACTTGAATCATTTTTGGCGCGGTTTTTAAAAAAAAATATTTTAAAAGACTTTATTGTACCAGAATCGTTCGCGGTAAATTTTTAAGCTTCCTTAATTTATAATAGAGTAAAACCTGTCTAATTTGGGCATAATGACCAAGATTTTTTGTACAGCTTAGACAGTTACCCAATCGAGACTAATACTCGTTAATAGGAATTCGATTGGGACGACACAAAATTTTGTTCAAACAGTGAGTTGCTCAAATTATCAAGATCCCAAATTAGACAAGCTTTACTGTATCAATTTTTATATTTGTGTATATACCTTTCATTAAAAATTTTACGAAATTGTTTCTGCTGATGATCAAAATCTTGACCAAAAATTCTGCTTCAGATATCTTTAAAGTATTTTTTTTAGTTCGCGCAGCTTGCGATACGATGCTCTATACGTGTCGGAATGCGATTCCGGGAAAATTAGGTTCCTTCAAAAAAAAATTTCAAAAAAAGAATTTTGTAAAATTTGTTTAAAAATATCTTGGGTCAAATGATAAGTATTGTTGTAAATCATGATTATGATGATTGATTTTAGAGTGTTATGTAAAGCTGCCATATTGGAATTCTGCCAGTGTAACCATATATTCCACGTAGCAATGTAAGGAGTTACTTATAAGTATCTGTAACCACGAATTCGCTAATCTCCAACGACATATACATTATATAACTATATAAATATTATACCTATTCAATTAGATCGTGGGATATTCCTATTGGGGTTGTTGGATGAGCAATTTGATGTCAATAATAGCGTTAATATCGAGCGATATCGTAACTGAAATGGTCACGCAAAAAAAAGACGGTAAACTCTAATGCGACAAATTTTTTTAAGCATAAATAACTCACGTTTTTTTTTTAAAAAAAAACAATCGCCTAAATCCTAGAGATTTTGCTAACCCTAAACCTTTGTGCCATCTATTAGCAAAATCTTCAGGCTGTATTTTCCACCCTTAAGATTTTTATTATGATTTTAAAAGTTAAAAATTGATGGGGGGGGGGGGGTGAAATGGCAAATTGATTCTCAACATAATACATAATTGTAATTTTATGCTCAGAATCGAACAAGGCCGACTATTACAACTTGCTGCGATATCTGAAAAAAACTTGAAAATCCTGATTCACTTCCCGTTCCTTCCCGTGGTAAAGAATACGAAAAAGATCTGGCGAATGGATTTGCTTATAAAACTCATTGTTTCTTAATCTAACAATGATATTTTTTTTTAAATATTTAATTATTTTAATAGCGAACAATAAATATAATGGATATATTTTTTATAATAGACTTGTCAATAAAAATATTGATATTTTAATTGTTAACTATATATTTTTTTAATATCACAACAATATAAGTTTTATATATATACTTTCGTTTTAATGCTATAATTGTGTTTAAAAATTGAGCAGAAGCGTTTTGCGTTTGTATATCGCTAAAAAAAGCGTATCTTTTTTAAAAATTAAATTAGAAATAATAAAACGCAAAACGAAAACGCTTTAATTACACTATAATAAGTAATACTTATTGATTCTTCAGAATTGGGCAGGGATATTCAACTCCATTGAATGAATTTTGATGACAGGCTTAAATCAAAACCAATTTTCTAAGAGAATTCCTAACCCGATCCTAGTCCATTTTACCCCGGATTCGATGAGATGTCCATAAATTGGTATGGAATTTTTGCTAATGCTCCATAACCACAGTAAAAAAAAAATTTATAGGCCCGGCCCAAGCCCATAATAAGTTTCAAAAAAAAAAAATTTATCGCATTCTAATAAAAATAACAATATTTCAGTTATATTTAGGGCAATCATTTTGTTTGCAATAACCGAAATTTATTATTAGAAGAAAAAAAGATTGCATTATAATAATAATTTTTTAGGTCCAAGACAATTAAAAAAAAAGGTTCAAAAACCCAGGCCCGGCTCAGGTACGCTATAAAAATATAATATTGGACCGGTCTGCCCCATGTAGGTCCCTAATACACACTACAATTGATAATTATTCAAAAACTAGAAATGTACTGGTTGGTTACTTTGTAAATACACACTTTATTGCTATTATTAAGATATTTTTGCATTTTATATTCCTTAGCCTTACATTATATAATATCATCAGTTTTCAAATTTTGAATATTTTTTTCTTGAAGCAGTTCTGTTCTAATAAAGTTTATCATTTTAACATGATTTCTTCTCCCCCCCCCCCCCCCCGAATATTTATAATAATATAATTTTCATTTGGCTAGAAGAGGATTTTTAATAATTATTTGTGATTTAGATGAAAGAGCTTATTAAGGAGAAACGTTACAGTGACCACCCCATTTTATAAAGAGATTTAGTGTCATTCTTATATGTTTAAATCTAATGGAAAATTGTTTTGCCAAACGGATATATTTCCGTTAAAAAACAAAATCGTCACCTCTCTTGAAGCAGGTTAACAAAGATGCCATATGCACGATAAGCTTGAAAAATTGGCTATATGGCTATCTCAATGATATGCCTATTGTGAATCGAAATAATTAAAATAGTTTTACTATGATATGAGGCATAAAATTGGTTTAAAATCACATTCTTACCCCTTAATATAAAAACTAGCAGCCAGCTATATATCATTACAAATTAAAAATCATTATGCTGCAAATAACAATAACTTTATAAGCACTTTTATATATAAAAAAAAAAAAATATTACTTAAAGCATAGGGTAGCTTTGGTTATATTTTTCAAAATTTCAAAAATCTTCCTTAGTAAAATGACACAAAATTGAGAGATTACTCCGCCTCCCCATGGATTCCATTTTCCATTATGACATACAGATCCCAACGAGGGTTACTACCTACGCCAAAGATTAGCCCTCAATATAATAAAATCCAATTACCTCAGCTTCATATTCTCAATGACTGATACCCCCTAATTACTTACAATTTATATCTATATTTTATTCATTAATTAATATTGAATTTATGATTTTATTTTTATATTTAGTATTACATAAATTACTAATATCTTATTTTATTTACTATATGTGTAAAAATGTATTTTGTATCCTTAACAAAAATGCACCTGATAATCATTTCTTTTAGCTGAAACCGATGCTAAATATCGGACCAACAACTTGGTGAAGATACTTACATAAAAAAAAAAATTCACTAAAAATTTTTATTAATAATATATAATATTACTTTATCATCATCCTATTTTAATGTTAGAAAAAGGAGTTTAAATTAAAAGGAAAAATAATTGAGAATTGATTGGTGAACAAAAAGCGGTTTAATGTAATAAAAATAAGCAGTTCTGAAAATAAGAAGGATATTTTGGGGATCTAATAATAAAATTAACTATTTATTTCGAATTACAAAAAAAATATTATCATTAGCAAAAAATATTAAACTATTAACCTTTAGAGGGGATTTGTATAATTTGTATAAGCCCAAAGGTACCCACAAAAGAAATTTAATATTGGGTATGCATTATCAGTAAAAAAAAATTTATTATTATTGATAAATGAATTGTAACGATAGATACCCACCTAAGGAAGCTCAAATTTATTTTTATTGTTATCATATAATATATAAACCTGATTACAAATTTATTGGTAAAATTGACAAGAGCGTATTTGTGAATTATGTTTATCAAAAATAAAATGAATTGTAGTAATTATTCACACACTAAATAAATTTTGAAACTATCCGCAAATAATAAATATAATTTTTTTAATATATATAAAGTAAAATTAAATATTATTTTTGTCAAATAATTTTCCGAATTGAAGATTTTTCTCGATTATTTTTGGATTGTCCTTTATCTAAAAAGTGCAACAAAAGAAATATAATATATATATATATTTTTTTAATTATGGTTTTTTTTAACATTAATTTAATTTATTATATATATTAGTGGTTAAAAAAATAGATTTTTAATTTTATAGGTTAATTAATTAATTTTTACTCATACAAATGGGTTCGAAATAGTTCGGGATCAATAAATAGGAATTAAATAGGAATTAAATAGGAATTATAGAGGGCCATGTCATAAATTAACATTGCATTTAATATAAATAAGTAGAATTAACAATGCATTTAATTTAAATAATATATATATAATGTAATCTATTTTTCGCAATATATCGGACAGAGAATATTTACAATGATAATGTATAAAGTCATAAATTTTATCGAATAAATTTGGTGTGATTTAGTGTTGGGTTACATCCTTTTTATAATCATTTGTGTGGGAACTATTTTCTTTGGGGTAAACTATTATCTCGTCACCCCCTTCATCTCTGATGTTTATGCCTTCGTTCGTGTAAGCGCCATGAATCTTTGTAGCGTCCTGGGAGGGTCTATGGTAAACAAAATTGGCATATACGTTCGAGGTTTTACGAGGGTGATTCTCTTTACTGTGGGTTTCGTGTACTTCGACAGTGTCACTGTCACCGTATCCCAGTCTGCTAGAGCGGATGTCAGCGTGATAGGGATTAAACTGCTTATCGTAATGCACATCAGCGGTAACCGAAAGAGCTCGAGTCTGACCAGATTCGGTACCAGCGGAATACTGCGTATTTTGAGTAGAACTTTTGCCCGATCTATTTATATTCTCTCCCCTACTGCTTTTGTGCAGGGTGTCTAAAACTTTGCTAGGAGATCCTAAAGATCTAATTTGATCTAAGAATGGCAAGGATTTGCGCTCATTAACAAGATTTGAGGTGGTGGATGAAAACTCCTTCTTACCTTGGATATTAATGTCTTTAACGGACCTTGGAGGAGGCGGTGCAGGGACGATCCTAACAGGGGCACTACCTCTTTGCGTACCCCGATTAATTTGATTATTTCCATATATACCTATGTTTGTATCTTGAGAAAGCCTACTCTGCCGTTCAAAGTAGGCGGGTCTTTCATTGTCAATTCGTTGAGTAAACTTTTGTCCCCTTACCTGGAAATCATTACTCTTATCGTCAATATACGTAGGTTTGTTATTAATGTCTAAGTAATAATTACGCCGTTGAATATCATTTTGGTCATCAAATGATGATGCTGATGATTTATCGCCGACTTGATTATACACGGTATTAGCCGCCGATTTATAATAGTTTTGGTTTTGTGATCTATTAAATTGACCGTGAAGGGAATCCGGTGCGTTATTGTAAGGGGGAGATTGGTTATAAATGATTTGTCGATTGGTTTCATGTTGAATATTTTGTTGATTGTTGTTTTTATAGTCACGGGTAGCTGAATACGATTGAGGATTATATTCTCTGCGATCCCCAATGACTTGGTAATCTAATTGACCGGAAATTCGACCGCTTTAAAATAAATTTAAAAAATTTTTTCATGTTATTTTATTAGTACGATAAACTCTCTCTCCCTTAACAATTAGATTTTGAGATTTGCATAGTATTGAATTTTATATTTATTTTTCTCATCCAAAGAATATATAAATCAGGCAGAATTGAGGTTATTGAGGTTATAAATCAAAAATGATTTTCGGGCTAATAGATATTAAAAATGTAAGATGAGGTTAAAACACACGAGGAATGAGATATAAACACAAGGAAAATTTAAAATTCATAAAATATATCTTGGAAGATATGTAATAGATTTAAACCGTGCTTATAACAAGTGATTTTAAATAAATCAGGCATTCCATCAGAAAAAAAGGGTAGTAGAATACTTTGTATAAAATATTCAAAATAAAAAATGTATTTGACTGGTGTGTTATTGGTGTAAGGTGTTCCATATGTTCGTTATCGGGAATTGTGTATTTTTGATTGGAAAATTTAGAAGTAATTTTATGAGTTTTTCGCGTGTCGTTGTCCGGACCAGATAAAGGCGGCCGAGTGTTAGTTTTATCGGACACCTCATAAGCTGAAGTATCGGTATTCTTATTAGAGGCGTGTTGAAAAAAGTTAACGTTCGACACTTGCGTAGCATTTTTAGTTTGGAAACGAGGAAGTTTGTGGGTAATTTCGAGAGACTGTCTATCATATTGCAAACCTCGATCATGAACATCGGGAAGTTTGTGAGTAATTTCGAGAGAGTGTCTCTCATCATATTGCAAGCCGCGATCATAAATATCGGATGATTTCATATTATTCTTCAAAGTTGAGTTGGATATTTTTAAACTGCTTTCGGCATCAGCATTGGGATATTGCTGAGAGGTAGGGGTTATGGTATATGTTGACACTGTAGGATGTTGCAAACGTTTCTGGTGTACATGGACATCTAAAATATTACTATCTGTTTTGGTAGACGGTATTTTTATTCGATAATTATATGAATGAGTCGTTTCTGAATTGACGTCAGGTAAATATGTAGATGCCAAATTAATATCGGGTAAGGGTTTAACATAATCACTATCCTTGATATAAAAGTCGTCGTGTCGAAGTTTCACTATATCTTTATGCGAAAAATTTTTGGGGTGGGAGTGCCCATCATTTTCATCAACCATTGGATATTTATAACCCTCTTTTCTATTTATAAACAACCAAGACTGCCTTTCCTTAATATCCGCGTTTGATTTGTCAACGGTTTGGGATCGCGTATAATCATCTTTAATTTGTTCATCAGATTTAGGTGGCTTCTCAATATATTGCGCATTAATATTAATGTCTTCAGTGTATCGGTGAGGTAGGGGAGTTGATGCTAAGCTTACTTGAGGTAAATGTTCATGATAATCTCTCTCCTTTATTTCTAAATCGGTATGTCGAAGTTGCGCCATATCCTTGTGCGATAAACGCCTAGGTTGGTTCCGTCGATTTACTTGATCCTCGGAAATGGGTGCATGAGATAAAGTGTAATCAGGTAGGTGTTCGTGGTATTCTTTATTTTTGATATCTATAAATGAATGTTTGAGATGTGCCAACTCTTTCTGAGAAGGGCGTCTTTCTCCACCGGCATATTGTTCAGTTGGACTAATATTTTCTGAAGATTTATAACTCTCCTTCCTATTTTTAAACAACCAAGCTTGCATTTCCTTAATATCAGCGTTTGATTTGTCAAAAAATTGGGTTCGCGTATAATCATCTCTAATTTGTTCATCAGTTTTAGCTGGCTTCTTTTGTGCATTAAAACTTATGTCTTCAGTATATCTGTGAGGTAGTGGAGTTGATGATAGGCTTACTTGAGGTAAATGTTCATGATAATCTCTTTCCTTTATTTCTAAATCTGTATGTCGAAGTTGCGCCATATCCTTGTGCGATAAACGCCTTGGTTGGTTCCGTCGATTTACTTGATCCTCGGAAATGGGTGCATGAGATAAAGTGTAATCAGGAAGGTGATCGTGGTATTCTCTATCTTTGATATCAATGAATGCGTGTTTAAGATGAGCCAACTCTTTATGAGAAGGACGTCTTTCTCCACCGGCATATTGTTCAGTTGGACTAATATTTTCAGAAGATTTATAACTCTCCTTCCTATTTTTAAACAACCAAGCTTGCATTTCCTTAATATCAGCGTTCGATTTGTCAACGGATTGGGATCGCGTATAATCATCTCTAATTTGTTCATCAGTTTTAGCTGGCTTCTTTTGTGCATGAAAACTTATGTCTTCAGTATATCGGTGAGGTAGTGGAGTTGATGATAGGCTTACTTGAGGTAAATGTTCATGATAATCTCTTTCCTTTATTTCTAAATCGGTATGTCGAAGTTGCGCCATATCCTTGTGCGATAAACGCCTTGGTTGGTTCCGTCGATTTACTTGATCCTCGGAAATGGGTGCATGAGATAAAGTGTAATCAGGTAGATGTTCGTGGTATTCTCTATCTTTGATATCAATGAATGCGTGTTTAAGATGAGCCAACTCTTTATGAGAAGGACGTCTTTCTCCACCGGCATATTGTTCAGTTGGACTAATATTTTCAGAAGATTTATAACTTTCCTTCCTATTTTTAAAAAACCAAGCTTGCATTTCCTTAATATCAGCGTTCGATTTGTCAACGGGTTGGGATCGCGTATAATCATCTCTAATTTGTTCATCAGTTTTAACTGGCTTCTTTTGATTAATGTCTTCAGTATATCGGTGAGGTAGTGGAGTTGATGATAGGCTTACCTGAGGTAAATGTTCATGATAATCTCTTTCCTTTATTTCTAAATCGGTATGTCGAAGTTGCGCCATATCCTTGTGCGATAAACGCCTTGGCTGGTTCCTTCGATTTACTTGATCCTCGGATATGGGTGCATGAGATAAAGTGTTATCAGGAAGGTGTTCGTGGTATTCTCTATCTTTGATATCAATGAATGCGTGTTTAAGATGAGCCAACTCTTTATGAGAAGGACGTCTTTCTCCACCGGCATATTGTTCAGTTGGACTAATATTTTCAGAAGATTTATAACTCTCCTTCCTATTTTTAAACAACCAAGCTTGCATTTCCTTAATATCAGCGTTCGATTTGTCAACGGATTGGGATCGCGTATAATCATCTCTAATTTGTTCATCAGTTTTAGCTGGCTTCTTTTGTGCATGAAAACTTATGTCTTCAGTATATCGGTGAGGTAGTGGAGTTGATGATAGGCTTACTTGAGGTAAATGTTCATGATAATCTCTTTCCTTTATTTCTAAATCGGTATGTCGAAGTTGCGCCATATCCTTGTGCGATAAACGCCTTGGTTGGTTCCGTCGATTTACTTGATCCTCGGAAATGGGTGCATGAGATAAAGTGTAATCAGGTAGATGTTCGTGGTATTCTTTGTCTTTGATATCAATGAATGCGTGTTTAAGATGAGCCAACTCTTTATGAGAAGGGCGTCTTTCTCCACCGGCATATTGTTCAGTTGGACTAATATTTTCAGAAGATTTATAACTCTCCTTCCTATTTTTAAACAACCAAGCTTGCATTTCCTTAATATCAGCGTTCGATTTGTCAACGGATTGGGATCGCTTATAATCATCTCTAATTTGTTCATCAGTTTTAACTGGCTTCTTTTGATTAATGTCTTCAGTATATCGGTGAGGTAGTGGAGTTGATGATAGGCTTACTTGAGGTAAATGTTCATGATAATCTCTTTCCTTTATTTCTAAATCGGTATGTCGAAGTTGCGCCATATCCTTGTGCGATAAACGCCTTCGTTGGTTCCGTCGATTTACTTGATCCTCGGAAATGGGTGCATGAGATAAAGTGTAATCAGGTAGATGTTCGTGGTATTCTTTGTCTTTGATATCAATGAATGCGTGTTTAAGATGAGCCAACTCTTTATGAGAAGGGCGTCTTTCTCCACCGGCATATTGTTCAGTTGGACTAATATTTTCAGAAGATTTATAACTCTCCTTCCTATTTTTAAACAACCAAGCTTGCATTTCCTTAATATCAGCGTTCGATTTGTCAACGGATTGGGATCGCGTATACTCATCTCTAATTTGTTCATCAGTTTTAACTGGCTTCTTTTGATTAATGTCTTCAGTATATCGGTGAGGTAGCGGAGTTGATGATAGGCTTACTTGAGGTAAATGTTCATGATAATCTCTTTCCTTTATTTCTAAATCGGTATGTCGAAGTTGCGCCATATCCTTGTGCGATAAACGCCTTGGTTGGTTCCGTCGATTTACTTGATCCTCGGAAATGGGTGCATGAGATAAAGTGTAATCAGGTAGATGTTCGTGGTATTCTTTGTCTTTGATATCAATGAATGCGTGTTTAAGATGAGCCAACTCTTTATGAGAAGGGCGTCTTTCTCCACCGGCATATTGTTCAGTTGGACTAATATTTTCAGAAGATTTATAACTCTCCTTCCTATTTTTAAACAACCAAGCTTGCATTTCCTTAATATCAGCGTTCGATTTGTCAACGGATTGGGATCGCGTATAATCATCTCTAATTTGTTCATCAGTTTTAACTGGCTTCTTTTGATTAATGTCTTCAGTATATCGGTGAGGTAGTGGAGTTGATGATAGGCTTACTTGAGGTAAATGCTCATGATAATCTCTTTCCTTTATTTCTAAATCGGTATGTCGAAGTTGCGCCATATCCTTGTGCGATAAACGCCTTGGTTGGTTCCGTCGATTTACTTGATCCTCGGAAATGGGTGCATGAGATAAAGTGTAATCAGGTAGATGTTCGTGGTATTCTTTGTCTTTGATATCAATGAATGCGTGTTTAAGATGAGCCAACTCTTTATGAGAAGGGCGTCTTTCTCCACCGGCATATTGTTCAGTTGGACTAATATTTTCAGAAGATTTATAACTCTCCTTCCTATTTTTAAACAACCAAGCTTGCATTTCCTTAATATCAGCGTTCGATTTGTCAACGGGTTGGGATCGCGTATAATCATCTCTAATTTGTTCATCAGTTTTAACTGGCTTCTTTTGATTAATGTCTTCAGTATATCGGTGAGGTAGTGGAGTTGATGATAGGCTTACTTGAGGTAAATGTTCATGATAATCTCTTTCCTTTATTTCTAAATCGGTATGTCGAAGTTGCGCCATATCCTTGTGCGATAAACGCCTTGGTTGGTTCCGTCGATTTACTTGATCCTCGGAAATGGGTGCATGAGATAAAGTGTAATCAGGAAGGTGTTCGTGGTATTCTTTGTCTTTGATATCAATGAATGCGTGTTTAAGATGAGCCAACTCTTTATGAGAAGGACGTCTTTCTCCACCGGCATATCGTTCAGTTGGACTAATATTTTCAGAAGATTTATAACTCTCCTTCCTATTTTTAAACAACCAAGCTTGCATTTCCTTAATATCAGCGTTCGATTTGTCAACGGATTGGGATCGCGTATACTCATCTCTAATTTGTTCATCAGTTTTAACTGGCTTCTTTTGATTAATGTCTTCTGTATATCGGTGAGGTAGCGGAGTTGATGATAGGCTTACTAGAGGTAAATGTTCATGATAATCTCTTTCCTTTATTTCTAAATCGGTATGTCGAAGTTGCGCCATATCCTTGTGCGATAAACGCCTTGGTTGGTTCCGTCGATTTACTTGATCCTCGGAAATGGGTGCATGAGATAAAGTGTAATCAGGTAGATGTTCGTGGTATTCTTTGTCTTTGATATCAATGAATGCGTGTTTAAGATGAGCCAACTCTTTATGAGAAGGGCGTCTTTCTCCACCGGCATATTGTTCAGTTGGACTAATATTTTCAGAAGATTTATAACTCTCCTTCCTATTTTTAAACAACCAAGCTTGCATTTCCTTAATATCAGCGTTCGATTTGTCAACGGATTGGGATCGCGTATAATCATCTCTAATTTGTTCATCAGTTTTAGCTGGCTTCTTTTGTGCATGAAAACTTATGTCTTCAGTATATCGGTGAGGTAGTGGAGTTGATGATAGGCTTACTTGAGGTAAATGTTCATGATAATCTCTTTCCTTTATTTCTAAATCGGTATGTCGAAGTTGCGCCATATCCTTGTGCGATAAACGCCTTGGTTGGTTCCGTCGATTTACTTGATCCTCGGAAATGGGTGCATGAGATAAAGTGTAATCAGGTAGATGTTCGTGGTATTCTTTGTCTTTGATATCAATGAATGCGTGTTTAAGATGAGCCAACTCTTTATGAGAAGGGCGTCTTTCTCCACCGGCATATTGTTCAGTTGGACTAATATTTTCAGAAGATTTATAACTCTCCTTCCTATTTTTAAACAACCAAGCTTGCATTTCCTTAATATCAGCGTTCGATTTGTCAACGGATTGGGATCGCGTATAATCATCTCTAATTTGTTCATCAGTTTTAGCTGGCTTCTTTTGTGCATGAAAACTTATGTCTTTAGTATATCGGTGAGGTAGTGGAGTTGATGATAGGCTTACTTGAGGTAAATGTTCATGATAATCTCTTTCCTTTATTTCTAAATCGGTATGTCGAAGTTGCGCCATATCCTTGTGCGATAAACGCCTTGGTTGGTTCCGTCGATTTACTTGATCCTCAGAAATGGGTGCATGAGATAAAGTGTAATCAGGTAGATGTTCGTGGTATTCTTTGTCTTTGATATCAATGAATGCGTGTTTAAGATGAGCCAACTCTTTATGAGAAGGGCGTCTTTCTCCACCGGCATATTGTTCAGTTGGACTAATATTTTCAGAAGATTTATAACTCTCCTTCCTATTTTTAAACAACCAAGCTTGCATTTCCTTAATATCAGCGTTCGATTTGTCAACGGATTGGGATCGCTTATAATCATCTCTAATTTGTTCATCAGTTTTAACTGGCTTCTTTTGATTAATGTCTTCAGTATATCGGTGAGGTAGTGGAGTTGATGATAGGCTTACTTGAGGTAAATGTTCATGATAATCTCTTTCCTTTATTTCTAAATCGGTATGTCGAAGTTGCGCCATATCCTTGTGCGATAAACGCCTTGGTTGGTTCCGTCGATTTACTTGATCCTCGGAAATGGGTGCATGAGATAAAGTGTAATCAGGTAGATGTTCGTGGTATTCTTTGTCTTTGATATCAATGAATGCGTGTTTAAGATGAGCCAACTCTTTATGAGAAGGGCGTCTTTCTCCACCGTCATATTGTTCAGTTGGACTAATATTTTCAGAAGATTTATAACTCTCCTTCCTATTTTTAAACAACCAAGCTTGCATTTCCTTAATATCAGCGTTCGATTTGTCAACGGATTGGGATCGCGTATACTCATCTCTAATTTGTTCATCAGTTTTAACTGGCTTCTTTTGATTAATGTCTTCTGTATATCGGTGAGGTAGCGGAGTTGATGATAGGCTTACTAGAGGTAAATGTTCATGATAATCTCTTTCCTTTATTTCTAAATCGGTATGTCGAAGTTGCGCCATATCCTTGTGCGATAAACGCCTTTGTTGGTTCCGTCGATTTACTTGATCCTCGGAAATGGGTGCATGAGATAAAGTGTAATCAGGTAGATGTTCGTGGTATTCTTTGTCTTTGATATCAATGAATGCGTGTTTAAGATGAGCCAACTCTTTATGAGAAGGGCGTCTTTCTCCACCGTCATATTGTTCAGTTGGACTAATATTTTCAGAAGATTTATAACTCTCCTTCCTATTTTTAAACAACCAAGCTTGCATTTCCTTAATATCAGCGTTCGATTTGTCAACGGATTGGGATCGCGTATACTCATCTCTAATTTGTTCATCAGTTTTAACTGGCTTCTTTTGATTAATGTCTTCAGTATATCGGTGAGGTAGCGGAGTTGATGATAGGCTTACTTGAGGTAAATGTTCATGATAATCTCTTTCCTTTATTTCTAAATCGGTATGTCGAAGTTGCGCCATATCCTTGTGCGATAAACGCCTTGGTTGGTTCCGTCGATTTACTTGATCCTCGGAAATGGGTGCATGAGATAAAGTGTAATCAGGTAGATGTTCGTGGTATTCTTTGTCTTTGATATCAATGAATGCGTGTTTAAGATGAGCCAACTCTTTATGAGAAGGGCGTCTTTCTCCACCGTCATATTGTTCAGTTGGACTAATATTTTCAGAAGATTTATAACTCTCCTTCCTATCTTTAAACAACCAAGCTTGCATTTCCTTAATATCAGCGTTCGATTTGTCAACGGGTTGGGATCGCGTATAATCATCTCTAATTTGTTCATCAGTTTTAACTGGCTTACTTTGATTAATGTCTTCAGTATATCGGTGAGGTAGTGGAGTTGATGATAGGCTTACTTGAGGTAAATTTTCATGATAATCTCTTTCCTTTATTTCTAAATCGGTATGTCGAAGTTGCGCCATATCCTTGTGCGATAAACGCCTTGGTTGGTTCCGTCGATTTACTTGATCCTCGGAAATGGGTGCATGAGATAAAGTGTAATCAGGTAGATGTTCGTGGTATTCTTTGTCTTTGATATCAATGAATGCGTGTTTAAGATGAGCCAACTCTTTATGAGAAGGGCGTCTTTCTCCACCGGCATATTGTTCAGTTGGACTAATATTTTCAGAAGATTTATAACTCTCTTTCCTATTTTTAAACAACCAAGCTTGCATTTCCTTAATATCAGCGTTCGATTTGTCAACGGATTGGGATCGCGTATACTCATCTCTAATTTGTTCATCAGTTTTAACTGGCTTCTTTTGATTAATGTCTTCAGTATATCGGTGAGGTAGTGGAGTTGATGATAGGCTTACTTGAGGTAAATGTTCATGATAATCTTTTTCTTTTATTTCTAAATCGGTATGTCGAAGTTGCGCCATATCCTTGTGCGATAAACGCCTTGGTTGGTTCGGTCGATTTACTTGATCTTCGGAAACGGGTGCATGAGATAAAGTATAATCAGGTACGTGTTCGTGGTAGTCTTTATCTTTGATATCTATAAATGAGTGTTTAAGATGAGCCAACTCTTTATGAGAAGGGCGTCTTTCTCCACCGGCATATTGTTCAGTTGGAATAACATTTGTATCTACCATTGGATAATTATAACCCTCATTCCTATTTTTAAACAACCAAGCTTGCATTTCCTTAATATCAGCGTTTGATTTGTCAACGGATTGGGATCGCGTATAATCATCTTTAATTTGTTCATCAGTTTTATTTGGATACACAGTGGATGCTGCCCTTTTATTATATTGTACATTAATATTCATGTCATCAGTATAGCCGTGAGGTAGGGGAGTTGGTGATAAGCTTACCTGAGGTAAATGTTCATGATAATCTCTCTCCTTTATATATAAATCGGTATGTCGAAGTTGCGCCAAATCTTTATGCGATAAACGCCTTGGTTGGTTCCGTCGATTTACTTGATCTACGGAAACGGGTGCATGAGATAAAGTGTAATCAGGTACGTGTTCGTGGTAGTCTTTATCTTTGATATCTATATATGAGTGTTTAAGATGAGCCAACTCTTTATGAGAAGGGCGTCTTTCTCCACCGGCATATTGTTCAGTTGGAATAACATTTGTATCTACCATTGGATAATTATAACCCTCATTCCTATTTTTAAACAACCAAGCTTGCATTTCCTTAATATCAGCGTTTGATTTGTCAACGGATTGGGATCGCGTATAATCATCTTTAATTTGTTCATCAGTTTTATTTGGATACACAGTGGATGCTGCCCTTTTATTATATTGTACATTAATATTCATGTCATCAGTATAGCCGTGAGGTAGGGGAGTTGGTGATAAGCTTACCTGAGGTAAATGTTCATGATAATCTCTCTCCTTTATATATAAATCGGTATGTCGAAGTTGCGCCATATCCTTGTGCGATAAACGCCTTGGTTGGTTCCGTCGATTTACTTGATCCTCGGAAATGGGTGCATGAGATAAAGTGTAATCAGGTACGTGTTCGTGGTAGTCTTTATCTTTGATATCTATAAATGAGTGTTTAAGATGAGCCAACTCTTTATGAGAAGGGCGTCTTTCTCCACCGGCATATTGTTCAGTTGGAATAACATTTGTATCTACCATTGGATAATTATAACCCTCATTCCTATTTTTAAACAACCAAGCTTGCATTTCCTTAATATCAGCGTTTGATTTGTCAACGGATTGGGATCGCGTATAATCATCTTTAATTTGTTCATCAGTTTTATTTGGATACACAGTGGATGCTGCCCTTTTATTATATTGTACATTAATATTCATGTCATCAGTATAGCCGTGAGGTAGGGGAGTTGGTGATAAGCTTACCTGAGGTAAATGTTCATGATAATCTCTCTCCTTTATATATAAATCGGTATGTCGAAGTTGCGCCAAATCTTTATGCGATAAACGCCTTGGTTGGTTCGGTCGATTTACTTGATCTTCGGAAACGGGTGCATGAGATAAAGTATAATCAGGTACGTGTTCGTGGTAGTCTTTATCTTTGATATCTATAAATGAGTGTTTAAGATGAGCCAACTCTTTATGAGAAGGGCGTCTTTCTCCACCGGCATATTGTTCAGTTGGAATAACATTTGTATCTACCATTGGATAATTATAACCCTCATTCCTATTTTTAAACAACCAAGCTTGCATTTCCTTAATATCAGCGTTTGATTTGTCAACGGATTGGGATCGCGTATAATCATCTTTAATTTGTTCATCAGTTTTATTTGGATACACAGTGGATGCTGCCCTTTTATTATATTGTACATTAATATTCATGTCATCAGTATAGCCGTGAGGTAGGGGAGTTGGTGATAAGCTTACCTGAGGTAAATGTTCATGATAATCTTTTTCTTTTATTTCTAAATCGGTATGTCGAAGTTGCGCCATATCCTTGTGCGATAAACGCCTTGGTTGGTTCCGTCGATTTACTTGATCTTCGGAAACGGGTGCATGAGATAAAGTGTAATCAGGTACGTGTTCGTGGTAGTCTTTATCTTTGATATCTATAAATGAGTGTTTAAGATGAGCCAACTCTTTATGAGAAGGGCGTCTTTCTCCACCGGCATATTGTTCAGTTGGAATAACATTTGTATCTACCATTGGATAATTATAACCCTCATTCCTATTTTTAAACAACCAAGCTTGCATTTCCTTAATATCAGCGTTTGATTTGTCAACGGATTGGGATCGCGTATAATCATCTTTAATTTGTTCATCAGTTTTATTTGGATACACAGTGGATGCTGCCCTTTTATTATATTGTACATTAATATTCATGTCATCAGTATAGCCGTGAGGTAGGGGAGTTGGTGATAAGCTTACCTGAGGTAAATGTTCATGATAATCTCTCTCCTTTATATATAAATCGGTATGTCGAAGTTGCGCCAAATCTTTATGCGATAAACGCCTTGGTTGGTTCCGTCGATTTACTTGATCCTCGGAAATGGGTGCATGAGATAAAGTGTAATCAGGTAGGTGTTCGTGGTAGTCTTTATCTTTGATATCTATAAATGAGTGTTTAAGATGAGCCAACTCTTTATGAGAAGGGCGTCTCTCTCCACCGGCATATTGTTCAGTTGGACTAATATTTTCAGAAGATTTATAACTCTCCTTCCTATTTTTAAACAACCAAGCTTGCATTTCCTTAATATCAGCGTTTGATTTGTCAACGGATTGGGATCGCGTATAATCATCTCTAATTTGTTCATCAGTTTTATTTGGATACACAGTGGATGCTGCCCTTTTATTATATTGTACATTAATATTCATTTCATCAGTATTGCCGTGAGGTAGGGGAGTTGGTGATAAGCTTACCTGAGGTAAATGTTCATGATAATCTCTCTCCTTTATATATAAATCGGTATGTCGAAGTTGCGCCAAATCTTTATGCGATAAACGCCTTGGTTGGTTCCGTCGATTTACTTGATCTTCGGAAACGGGTGCATGAGATAAAGTGTAATCAGGTACGTGTTCGTGGTAGTCTTTATCTTTGATATCTATAAATGAGTGTTTAAGATGAGCCAACTCTTTATGAGAAGGGCGTCTTTCTCCACCGGCATATTGTTCAGTTGGAATAACATTTGTATCTACCATTGGATAATTATAACCCTCATTCCTATTTTTAAACAACCAGGCTTGCATATCCTTAATACCCGCATTTGGTTTATCAACCGATTGGGATCGGGCATATTTATCATATCTATCAATTTTAGATGCCGGCCCTTTATTATATTGTACATTAATATTCATATCATCAGTATATCGGTGAGCTAGGGGAGTTGATGATAAGCTCACCTGAGGTAAATGTTCATGATAATCTCTCTCTCTTATCTCTAAATCGGTATGTCGAAGTTGCGCCAAATCCTTATGAGATAAACGCCTTGATTGGTTCAGTCGATTCATTTGATCTTCGGATACTCGTCCATGTGATAAGGTGTAATCAGGTAAATGTTCGTGATAATTTCTATCTCTATTTTCTATGTACGATGGTCTAAGATTCGCTAATTCTCTATGTGATGGACGTCTCTTATTATCATTTTCGTATTTTCTAACGAATCCGTTATAACCGTATTGATCAGTTATGCTTAAATCTATATTCCCGGTTAAAGATTGTAATTCCTTCCTATTATTAGGAGACGAAACGTCCACACATTCAGATTCCTTTTGTTGGATATAGTTATTATTAGCCAATAAAACATAATCATTCTTAGTATCAGATGTTCTAGTTTGAAAATTTACCGGTTCTCTATTATATATAATCCTTCGATATTTACTTGTCTCCTTATTTTTATCTTCATTTCTGTATGATACAGGAGGTATTGGAGTCATTTGAGACAAATTTTCTTGAAAATTTCTCTCTCTTTTATAATTAGTGTCACGTACTTTACCCAAATCTTTGTGCAATACTCGTTGCTGTTGATGATATTTATTAAATTGCTTATCGCGTAAATTATTGTTCATAATCTCCTGGGCCGCTTCTCTTTGTGATAAGGGTCGCCCTGCAGACAGAGACCTGGTTACATTTTTATTGCCTTCGTCGTTAAAATATGTTTGCGTTTTTTCTATATTCCCCGTGGATGATCTGCTATTATCATTTCTATTTTTGAACAACCAGGATTGAAGTTTTCTATAACTAATGGGTTCTGATTTATTCGTGAGCCAAGATCGAGAAGATGATTGATTAGTAGGACCGTATGTTTGCGAATATAAAGCGCTATCGTCTCTGAACGATTTATCTTCAGTAACTGCATTCTGATACTTTATCGAATCCTCGTAAAACATTGGCTTCTCATATTGCGATTCATAACTGTTTATTTTATATCCTCCAGGTATGGGCCTCGACCCCAAATCGATATTGTCATCTTGAGGATTACGTAAATCTTTGTACGTTAATCGCCCTTGTTGATTAGGTTTGCTAATTTGTTGACAGGATAAGGTAGTGTTGAACTGATTCATTTGAGGAATCTGTTCGCGATAACGCTCATCGTTGATATCAATATTAGAATGTTTCAAGTGAACCAAATCTTTGTGCGATGGGCGTCTTTGATGGTCATATTGGGGCCCATAATTAATTTCTTCACTCTGATTTGGGAGGATATAATAAGGCGCTTGCGCATGGCCAGCATTAATATTTCCGGTAGATGATCTGGTATTGTTATTATTATTCCTTCTATTTTGGAATATCCATGCTTGCAGTTCTCTGTAACTAATAGGAGACGAGTTCACTGTGCCAGACTGGTACATTCGTAGCTGCGAGCCGTATTTGTATATATCAGGAGTGGACAAATAACGCCGAGGTTGTTCGTAATCGTATCGATATCTTGGTTGATGCATTAAATAAAACGGTTTGTGTTGAGAAGAATGATGAAAGTTTATTAGTATTGCACAAGTGTATTAACATTTTTTTAAGACAAGAATATATATAAATAATGATATATAAATTACAATATTTTATTTTGAATTTCTTTTTAAACTATTTATCAACAAATATTGATTGGTCATTGGTTATTGTTAAAATCAATAAAGGAAATATAGAAATGCGATGCAAAATATATTAAGGAAATTCACGGTATATATATATATTGTATAGAAAAAATTGGAAATGAGGGGTTAAAAGTGTACATAATAAAATACTCGTTAGATTTAGGCATTCAATGACTCATGTGATTGCTCTAGAAGTTTTTCGACTGGGACAATGGGTATAGGCGATCCTATTTCCGGTTACATAATTGATCCAGGATATATATATTTTCCTGATCTTTAATAATATTTTGGTTAATTTCTCGAACTTTAGCTAAATCTTCAGAAGGTTGTCGCCTATACAACCCATCATTAGCAATCGAAGAGTTTAAACTATAACGTTGACTTTCATCAAAATGTGTAGTTCTGTTAGTAATTTTCAATTATTCACATTAATTTTTTGAAAGACGAGAAAAAAAATTTTTTTTAGTGTGAATTTTAAAAATGTATAGACTTTTGAGAAGGTTTTAAAAATTAGTTAAAATAAATATTGGTTAATATAAAGTAAATATTTTTTTTAATTAAAATTACTTTTGTTGCGAGGGGGATTGTGGTTGATATTTTATCGAATAATCTGGTGGAGGTTCTTGCTGCAAAATCCACGGATATTTATTTTAAATATTTTTTTGGTGGGGAGAGAAAAATAAAAATTGAAAAAAGAAATAAAAGAATTAAATATTTATTTTATTGAATCAACAAGGAATATATATTTTTAAATCATTTCTTTTTCCAAATTTAATATTTTTTTTTTTAAAAAAAAATTGAATTAGTGTATGTGTTGTGCGAACATATGTTTGACAATTATCTCGTCCAATAAATTTTTTTATTTTCAGATTTTATAATCTTCCCCCAAAAAAAACAAATTTTTAAAACAAATTTTTGAAACATTTTTACCATTCGAGATCCATTTTGAGAATATGGAGATGGGCGTCCCCCTGACCAATATTGGGTTTGTTGTTGTTGTTGTTGTTGTTGTTGGGATTGAGGATAATTTTGTTGTTGTTGTTGAGGATAATTGGGAGGATTACCTTGGAAGCCCGGAGCGCCCAGTATTATATTTCCTTGAGAGCCTCTCATTTGAGATAATTCACTTTAATATATATATATACGGTTTTTTTTAATATGACCGTTATAACGGTAAAATCTATTTTTAAATGGGGTCGTAAAGTAAGGCGTAAATAACACCGTTATTTGCCGCTACCCCTCCGTGAAGTCAACGAATTAGAGGGGCAAAACGCTACCTTTATTTTTTTTTTGCAGTACTCGCGTTACTAATTCTTTATTTTGTTCTCATTATTTTTAAATCATATTTTTTTTTTATTACTCGTTTCAAATAATGTTTAGGTTTATGTGAATGAGCCCCGCAAAAATCTAACTCGACCCGAAAATCCGACCCGAAAATCCGACCCGAAAATCTAACCACGGTTCGGATATCGGATCGCGTTGTCGTAATTCATTTTCCGGGTTCGGTCGGGTCAAGAAAAAGCAGCCATTTTATTTGCAGAACCCGATGTTACTCTATTTATTCTTTACAAGTTACGGCTCAAAAAAAAATGTTTCGACGTTACTATTTTTTTTCGAGAAAAGCAGTTAATACGTCTTACGGCAATAATTTTAAAAATAATTATCGAACTTCCCTGTCAAAAGTTAGATTTTTGTAAATAATCTTTTTAAGAAGAAGCTAAGAGTTAGTTTTCAATGAATCATTTAAGAAAAATATAATTCAGGGACAATAATCCTTAGCATTTTGGCATTTTTAGTAAAACTTACCTATTTACATTTTTCATCTTTGGCTTCCTTAAGGCACAAGTAAAAGTGTCGACATCGATTCTGGAATGAACTAAGTTAGATTTTTGTAAATAATCTTTTTAAAAGAAGCTAAGAGTTAGTTTTCAATGATCATTTAAGAAAAATCTAATTTAGGAATATCGTAAATTCACAAGTCCCTCCATAGCACATTTTTCGACTATACAAAAAAAAATTGATAATTTTAGTAAATTATTGGCTCCGTCTTTTTATCGCGTTTTAAAATGTTTATTAAAGTATAATTTTGAAATTTGTTGGATAACGCGTTTTAATTTTTTTTTTTTAAAAAAAAAGAATTATTTGGCGAATATTTACGGCATTTGTAATGTATATCATATATTTTTGAGATTCATAATCGTTGGCGGCTTGAAAGAAAGAAAGAAAGAAAGAAAGAAAGAAAGAAAGAAAGAAAGAAAGAAAGAAATTTTTTTTTAAATTATGATTTGTGTATGAATATTTGTGCAGTAATTTAATTTCAAAATCGAAGGAGAGTCAATATAACAATTATATATGGACCTCAAGATTTTTGCATTAAACAAGAAAGTGGAATCCAGAAATATCTAAATTTTTGATAAATTAAAAATCGTAATATATAAAAAAAAAAAGGAATATTATTTTAGCTAATATACTTAAATCAAACTAGAGATTAGCGCAGCTCGTAAGCCCACCACATGGACCGGGCAAATTGTGCAAAAAAATTTTTCGGGCAGGACCTAAGTTTAAAATGTTTTTTTAAAGCTAATAATTAGGCAAATTTAGCCGGGCCCAAAAACCCAGCTAAAAAATAATCTGCCAACCCTCCGACCTTTTTAAATTAAACAAATCTTACCGAAGAAATTATGAAAAATTTTCACTGTCTTTATTTTTTTTATAGTTATTTAAATGAAGAAAGATAAAATATTTCAAAAAAGGTATACGAGAAATTAGTAAATTTATAACCTGATACATTGTGGTGGAATAAATACTATGCTAAGTATGAGTGTTGAGCTGAACAAGTTAGAGATATGAAAATTTGGTAAATAAGGAGGGCGTGCATTTAACAAAACATAACAGAAAATACAATAAAAGTGAAAAGAAAAGAAAAAAAAAGAAAAGAAAAGAAAAGAAAAGAAAAGAAAAGAAAAGAAAAGAAAAGAAAAGAAAAGAAAAGAAAAGAAAAGAAAAGAAAAGAAAAGAAAAGAAAAGAAAAGAACCAAACAGAGTGCAGAATAGAACACAATACAAGGTGACAGAAATAATTATTGTTCCAGAGGAAATATATCAAAAAAATTCAAATTGTCTAGAAAAAATTTTTAAAATCTTCTAAAAACATCTGATGTTAAATAATTGAGTTAAAAGCGTAGAGAGATTTAACGTTGACTTATGTTCTTTTAAGGAAATAAACTCAAATATGAAGAATGAGAGGTAAAAAAAAAATTTGGATTAAAAAATAATCGGACATAGGTTTTTTACAAATATTTATATATTTATAAATATAATTATTAAATAATGCATTATGGCCAGTTGACACGGCCAGTCTTGATTGGTCAGAAAAACAACTTTCACATAACCTCATCTAGCCTCCTAAACTATTATAGTTAGAGATTTGATTCAAATTTTGATCTTATTTTTTTAAAATAGCGATCATAAAAATTTGAATAAATAGAATATCGGATAAGTATTCCTTTAGAAGGAATTGCAACGTGGATAAATAACGAAAAAAACGTGTTTTTTATGTTTTATTATTCGAGGAATAAACCGAAAATCAAATAAAACTTAAGTGTAACCGAACATTATGATTAAGCCGTTCAACCATGAACCCAACATTAGTGTTGTTATACGACTTCATTTTGAGCCAATTTTTTTTAAAAAAGGGTTAACTCAGTATATTATCCAGAAAAATATTATGCTAGCCTGAAGATCTTGTTCATAGATCCTACAAAAGACTAGACATTTATTAGCAAAATCTTGAGGCTTAAGCAATTTTTTTTTATAGCTTAAATATAGAGTTAGAGCCGTTTATCAACACTACACCAAAAAAACCATAGGAACCAAGAATTTTGGTGGGTTAGGGGGGAATAGTATTGAGAATTTCTCCATTAATTTTATTTGGAGTTTTTTTTTATAATAATTATTATTGGATTTTCATTTTCTTTTTTAAATATAAAAATTTTGAATTATATAAGTGGTTATTATTTTAAAAACATTATTGACTTTTTACTAATTGTATCTTTTCAAATTCATCATTATAATTGGAATATATACAAAATTAGATTGCAAGTCTTATATTGCTGATAATTTCAACAGATAGGAGTGGAGTGGGGTGGGAAGAAAATTTTTATCAGCTAAAGTGATATTTTAACAGAAGGCAAATTGTAACAATAAATTCAGGAAAAACAAATACATGAATTAATTCTGTTAAATTATGAATTATCAATCATATATTTCACAAATAAAAAGTCTTAAGTTTTGGTTAACTTTTACTTTTACTATATTATTGAACAGTGATTTTTGCAGTGTACAAAAACTAGAATCGGCCCTGTATATATATATAAACGATTTAATTGGTAATATTCTCTTGACTTTAAACGAAAAAATTACTGTTTAACTTAGGGTGATAATCTAGTACTTGCTGATCAATTCCCCCCCCCCAACCATCCCCTCATAACTCTGGAATTTATTAAAGAATATAATAGGATTTACTAAAATAAATTTATAAAAGTCAGAAACAAATTTTTAAAAAAATATATTATTCAAGAATTTTCAATTTTGGTTAAAATCCTTGATTATTTTTTAAAATAATCGTTTTTTTTCAAAGGTGCCATGATAAAGCGCTTCTATTTCTAAACCAACTCTGAGGAGTGATAAATCATAATAAACATCTGTTAATTTAAATCGTTGATTAATATCCCAATTTTATATTTAAAAAAAAAACAATAATAATAAAAATCAATAAATTAAAATGATTTTTTTTTAAAATAAGAAAAACTTGGAATATCGTTCCTGATATTCTTGAAACTTTCCTTGAGGGGTCTGTCCCCTGCTATGAGGAACACCAACTTGAGCTAATCCTCCGGTTAAGAATGATCCGGTGACCTTATCTGGGTTGGGCTTAATGCTAGGTTTTACAATGGGTCTTGTTCTATAGGGCTGACAATTTAATCAATCAATCAATCAATCAAAAATATTTTTAATAACTATACTTGATTCACGATATCCTCCGCCTCTTTATATTGATCGACTTCGTAAATGTTGGATGTTGACCAATCAGGAGATACCTTCCCTAGCGGGCTAAAATTCCTTTCTTTGCTTGGGGCTCTGTTGCAATGATAGAAAAAAAAATATCGTAAGATATCCGATATAGTTAAAAAGTAATTATTTGATAAGATTTTTTTAAAAAAAAGGAATTAATTACATAATTACAAACATGAAACCTAATTTCAGCAGGGGGATGGGCGTATTCCGATAGCGTTCCTATATTTACGCCACTCTTATAATTGAATTGCGGGATAGGCAGAGCGTGAATTCTGAGATAACCGGTTTGGTTGATGTCGGGATTGGAACTCTGAGATTCGTACCCAGAGAATGACTGTTCCTGCTGTTGGTAAGGAGAAATCGACCTAGACTGTTGACTCTGACCTTGTTGGAGTGAGTAATATTTGCTTCGATTTTGATTTGGATTTTGTTGTTGTTGAAACTGGTTGGACTGATATTGCGGCGATGAGGGTTGGTAAGTTGACCCTTCATTCCCACCAATCACTTCAATAAACAAAAACAAAAAAAGATCAAAATATGATGCATATCGTTTTTTTTAAAAATCATATCAACTGTTTTTTTTTCAAACAAATAGGGATTGGTCCTTTAGCAATAACTAAAAAAAAAAATAATATATTAACTCAGTTTAGCGTTAAAATTGGTGCAGTTAAACGGCTCAATTAGAACCGATTTTAACGGCTAACTCAATACTTTGGTCCAGAAAAAATATTACGCAACGCCTAAAGATTTTGCTCATATATGGGCACATAGGAATTGAACATCTATTGGCACGAAATCTCGACGCTTAGGCAATATATTCCTGGCTATAATACTGAGTCAGCCGTTTAACAACCGGAAGCATGGTTATAACCTTGTTTCGAACTAAAGGACCGTAAAAGTGTAGCCTAATAGAACTGATTAATATAGAAAAAACCTATGAATCTTTGATTCGGGTCGGGAGGATGGGGGTATTGTTGCTGCTGCGCGCTTTGTCCTCCTTGACGTTGGTTCGAACCATATGATTGCTGAAATTGTGTCGGGGATAAAGATTGCTGCAAGGATTTATGATAATAATGCGGTTGAGGGGGAGGCGGGTTGGAGGAAAAATAATATTCGCCTCGTCTACTGGGTTGATAAGCGCCCTGACCTTCTAAAAAGCGTTGGGGGGACACGGACCTGGCGCGCCCGCTGGGTCCACTCGTACCTCCCATGGATAGGCCTTCGTCGGTACTATAATAAGGAGAATTTTGGCCACTGGGATTGAGGATGAGACCACTCCTAGAAGACTTTAAAGGGCTGTGTTTTACCCAAGGCGGAATATCTTGCTCTCGACTCATGGCGTACGCTCCTCCCCTACAAATCAAATTATTATACACATTTTAATGATTTCCAAAAAAAGATGGTTAGGAGGGGGTTAAAACGTTTTATTTCCTCTCTAGACCGGAAGTAAGCCTCTTATTCCAAGTCACCTAATATATCATCCAATTTGGATGATTTCCGTATTGGAACACGCCCTATTAATAAAAATAAAATTAGATCGTTTAAATCTTCCCTACAAACAAACAGAAAGGAAAAGTGAAGATTCCATGTCACAAATAAAAGTCGGAGCGGGAAAGCCTGGCCCGAAGAACATTTTCTTCCCGGTCTGTAAAATAATTTTGTATAAGTAATTTCTGCCCGGCTTCCAAAATATTTTTGCCCAGGTCTCGTAAGGGGGGGGGATGGAATATACCTCTAGTAACGAATTCAAACCGATACTTTAAACGTATCTTTTTTTTGTACATCGTTACAATTATTATAGAGGAATAACGTAGGATGGAGTAATAAATGTTTGAAATCAGATTATTAAATCCTCTTTAAAAAAAAAAATACCAGGCTACATTTTATATTTCGTTGCTAAGAAACTCTTTAATAAATTTAAAACACTTATTTAACCATCCGTCTGTCGGAACAGAAACAAGACCTCATTTTCAACTTGGGCTTCTGTAAAAATTAATTTAATGGGAAGTAGTCTTTAGTTTTAAATACGTTTTAAACAAAAAAAAATTATATAAAAGAGATTTTAGGAGATTTGATTTTTTTTTAAAAAAAAAATCGTGTAATAGTTGTCACATTATCTGTCAACATGACAAGCGGCACCCGTCAAACGAAGCATTTTTATTAATATTTGCCCCTGTACATTCATGTAACTAAAAACTTATTATCTTTTAAAACATATTAATTATAAGAGACCTGCAGGCCCAGCCCGGGCCAGGCCGTATTTTAATTTTTTTTAAAATAAAAAGCCGGGCCGGGCTTTAAAATATAAAACCCGGGCCGGGCCGTAAAAAATTTGTGAATAAAAAAATCCGGGCCGGGCCGTACAAATAGTACCTCTGCAGGTCTCTGGGACATAATTCTAAAGTTCACAAGGTTACTTTTGTTTTGAAATTCACGAGCTTGGATACTCTAAAAAAAAAATTGCTCTTAGTAAAAAGAAATGATCAAAAGAAGCACGGATTACGTGTCTAGTGTTGTTTGAAAAAGCCCGCTTTGTGTCGATTTTTCAAAAGGTCCCAAAGCATTTCTGCCAGCTATGCAGGCTTTTTTTTTAACAACCACTATCCGTAATCCCCAACATTTTAAATTTAAATTTGTCATTTATTTTTTAAAACTAAATTTAAATTTATATATATATATAAATTTGTATATTTCGGTACTTTTTTTTTATTTTTTTACAATGATAAATTTACATTTGAAATATGATAATACAATTTTATTTTTTTTAATACTACAATTACGGTTTTCTAGTGATGTTAGATGGCTCCGTTTTGAGCCGATTTTTAAAAACGGCTAACTCAATATTTTTGCCGGAAAAAAATTGACCGAGACTCGACATTTCGATAATATATCTATATAGACCAGAGTTGTGTATCTAGATCCTGTATCTAGATAGATTTTTGATTAAAATATCTGTATCTAGATATTATTTTAGACGATGTATCTGTATCTAGATCCATTTAAAAAGTATCTTTTAACAACTCTGACAATTAGACCTTTGTTTCTTCCTATGAGCAAAAATCTTCAGGCTTGCGCAATATACTTTTTTGGATAAAATATTGAGTTAGCCGTTTAACAAACACTAGTAGTTTCTAATTTTAGATCTATCAAGCCAAAAACAAAACACAGAATCGGGTGTGGACATAGCTACGAAGGTACATAGGACCATATAAAAACAAACAAATCTATTTGATAATTAGTGTTGTTAAAAAGCCTAATCAAAATAACATTATGAAGTCTAAGGCCGCATTCATAGTGGATCCGATCCGACACGATTTAACAGCTGATCGATTTTAAAAATCTGTTTAATGAGTTCAAATTTTTTTTAAAAAATAATATTAATTAATTTTATCTTTAATTCTATACATGATAATAACCCAAGAAATATTGGGGTCTTAATAAAGAAAAATTGATTCTCACAAACCGATTTTAAAAATCGATCAGCTGTTTCATAGTGGATCCGATTCGACACGATTTAACAGCTGATCGATTTTAAAAATCTGTTTAACGAGTTCAAATTTTTTTTAAAAAAAATAATATTAATTTTATCTTTAATTCTACGCATGATAATAACCCAAGAAATATTGGGGTCTTAATAAAGAAAAATTGATTCTCACAAACCGATTTTAAAAATCGATCAGCTGTTAAATAGTGTCGGATCGGATCCACTATGAATGCGGCCTAAAGATTTTGGGCACATAGCTGGAAGAAATGCTTGCACATCTATTTGCCAAAATCTTGATGCGCACACAATAATATTATTTCGGCTAAAATCTTAATCCGCTTTCTACGTATAAGACTCTTTATATTACAAATGGTGTCCTTACCGAAAAACGTAAAGCCTTTAAATAGTCATAGCGAATTTCAAACTTCATTATTAATTAAATTGAGAGTTTACAAATATTTTCCATATTTTTTATATATATTTTTATTATGATTTTAAGTAATAAATTATTTTTTAAAAAAAATTAAGGTTTTCTAAAAAAAATTTCCGGTATAAGGCGATAGTTTGATTGGCACTTTTTTTTACTTTTGCATCTTAAAATCATTAATTGATTTTGGACGGAAATGCATTCCAATAGCATAGAATACCCAAAGCGTCGTTGAATGTCAAATCAGCTGGGCCCGCCATCTTGGTAACCCATACAGTAATTTATTCTCATGTCAAAAACTACTATCAAATTGGATAACTTGCTTCCTCCTTATTATCACGATGATCGGGCTAATTCTTTAATAAAGTTTGAGTTCAGACATAGGAATAAATTGGCCTCTCGTTTAAAATCTTCCATAATGATACGGGTAACCAAAATGGCGTCCCCAGCTGTTTTCATTGATGAATGAATGCGTCGTCAGTTTCGGTTTCATTATATATATATATATATATATATCATTGAGAATAAATACCCCCACCTTATAAATTTTATGACAAACTTTGAATGTGTAGTAAATTTAAAATTTCTTCAAAAGTTTGATATATAAATTTGTAAAAACAGGGTATTCTACTAGTGTTGTTAGGCGGTTCGTTTTGAGCCGATTATTAAAAACGGTTTTGAGCCGATCCTTAAAAGCGGCTAACGCAATATTTTAGGTAGAAAAATATTATCTAAATCTCGAGATTTGGCTAATAGATGTCCAACCTTTGGTTCCTTCTACAAACAAAATCTTCAGGCCTGCGTAATATTATTCTGGATGGAATTATTGAGTTAGCCGTTCCTAAAAATCGGTACTCAAAACGAGCCGCCGTTTAACAACACTATATTCTACACGCACGCTGGAATGCATTTCATGTTAAAATAAGATTTTTAAATTTAAAAAAAAAAGAAAGAATTAATCATTTAAAAGTACAAAAAAATAGAGCAATTTTTTTGTTTTTTTTTTGTACATAATTTTAAAAAAATAAGGCAAAAATTATTTAAATTTTTTTTAAAAAAATTATACATTTTATTTCTGAACATTATTATTAAAAATATGAGTGATTAGGATATGGATCACGGAAATTCGATTTTAAAATAGTAATTTGAACCATTTTGGATGGGGAGAGATGTATTCCCAAGCATGGCACTCATCCTGATTTTCAGGAAATTTTTCCCGAAGTAATTATGTGTAAAAAAAAATGAATATAAAATAAGATTATATAGTTCGAGTTACATAAGAAGCAAAAATTATCCTAAATTACTGTTGGTTACTTTCGCCACATGCTTGGAATATATTTCCGATCCATATACAATTATTTTTTTTAAATTAAATTTTTGAAATAATCACCCTCAGGAAAATGATATGAATTCCATATCCAAGTAATTCATAAGTTGTTATAGATTTTATGCAGTTTTTTTTAAAAATTAAATTTAAAAGAAAAATAAATAAATATTTAAAAGGTTTAAACCTTAGAGTCAAATCTTATTTTTATTCGGGATATAATGGGTTTAGTAATAAAGATTAAGAGAAGAAACATCAATAAATTTCAAATTTTTTCATGCTTTACAAAAAATAAGAATTATGATGTATGAATAGTTACATGTTATTGATATGCAATTCATCCATATGTTCTTATTTAAGACCAAAGGATGATTCCAAAACTATAAAAATAACATGTCAGGGGTTAGAATAAGGGCCTTAAAACTTGATGATATATTACATATAAAAATCTAAAGTATAACTCAAAAGATAATTATGAAAAATCTTATATAAAATATTATGTATCATTTCCTCTTTTTAAGTATAAAATTTTGAGTCTGAAGGAAAATAATATTTATTTGATATAAGTGTTATATCAATCTATCTATCGCATAGGGATTTCTATTTCAGACGTTAGACTTAGTATTTATTTTAGATTTAGTCGAGTTTTACCTGTTATGGTGCTCCTTAACTAATTGCCCCGACAAAGAAAGAAAGAAAGAAAGAAAGAAAAGAAAAGAAAAGAAAAGAAAAGAAAAGAAAAGAAAAGAAAAGAAAAGAAAAGAAAAGAAAAGAAAAGAAAAGAAAAGAAAAGAAAAGAAAAGAAAAGAAAAGAAAAGAAAAGAAAAGAAAAGAAAAGAAAAGAAAAGAAAAGAAAAGAAAAGAAAAGAAAAGAAAGAAAGAAAGAACCAGATAGTTCGATCGTGTAAGATAACCACCTTCCCTTAACAATTTTTTTTTATAACTGACATAGGGATTATCGCCTTTCATAACTATTATTAAAACAAAAAATTCGAATTTAATTTAAGATTCTCTTATCAATATGCTGCAGCATCAATCCAATCTGTTTTTTTGGCAAAATTGGTTCATACTGCATAACGAAAAATGAGCATATGTTTCTCGTAGCGAAAGACAATTTTATATGTAACTTTTGTGAATTATAAAAATTTTTTTATATATTTATATTTTTTTTAAATATTCAATATAATTTATATATTTTTTTTTAAAAGAATTTATTGGTTGTTCAAGGTTAAAAATATCGATAATTATTTTTTTTTATGTATAACAAAAACCTATTCCAAGCGTAACCAATTCATTTTTGAAAGTTAGTTGTTAGTTTTAGAAAACTTAATTATTTCTAACATTAATTGATATTCAATAAAATAAGTTAACATGTGAGTCCGGTCAAATTTCCCCGTTAAAAAAGATACGATACTTGAATCCCCCTTGCACATAAAATATATTAATGATTCGAATTAGGCTGCTATCATCAAATCTTTCGCCAACCATATGTTCCCCCCTCCCCTAATTTACCGAAGCCGGAAATCGGATAGTTGGATCGACCTTAGAGGTCAACGTTGACCTGATGCAAACCTGTTCCATGAAGATATTCAAAAAATGATTTACGTTTTTAACCCGGGTTTTAAAAATAATTTTTTAGTAAAATTTTTTTGTTATGAAGGAAGAAAAAGGACCATCAAAAATATTTGAAACATTCAGGCCCGTGCCTGGTCCGGCTGGAAAATCTTTTTTTCTTCTTCCGCGAACGTATTATTATCCAGTTTATATTTACATGATGAATTTTTTTTAAGACACATCAAATAAATGGACATACCTTTTGGTGTTTACAGTTAGGAATAAAATTGAAAATCCATGCAGAAAATTAATAGCGATTATAAAAATATGTGTATAATTGTATATTTAACAAAATAATTTTAGTTGCTGAAGATTAGAGTCAACGAAGAGGTATACAACTTTATATTTTTATTATGAATCAAGGATAAAAGAAAATAGAGGATTGATTGACTGTAAATTTATAATTATTAATTTTTAAAAATTATTCTTTATGTTTATAGAAGAAGGAAAGTAAAAATAGATAAATATAATAAGGTTCCAAAAAATAATAAATTAATCGTGTCCAATCAGAGAAGACCCCATGATGGTGTTAAAACGCTAGAAAAAATAAAATTCCGTTACTATTATTTTTTCCTAAAATCTAAACGCATTATTAAAAAACTTGCAATCTCTTGCCAATCATTGCCAACTGTTTTATTTTGTAATACAAATTCGACTAAAAGAAGTAAGTACATAACAAAATATTTAAAGAATTATCGTAATGAAATTTAATGCCCTTGAAAAAAAAAATAATAATTTTATTTATTGATAGAAAAAAATAAAAAAAATTTACACATTTTTGGCTATAACGTAATTAAGAAACCTCCGAAAAAATAAAATTTAAAAAATAACTTAATTTCTTCATTTAAATTTAAAGGATTATAAAAATTGGTGACATAACAAATAATTTCTGTTTAAAAATATCATCGGTAAGTCGGGTCAACTTTGTGTCAAATTAGCAAAGTTGTTAAAAGATACTTTTTAAATGGATCTAGATACAGATACATCGTCTAAAATAATATCTAGATACAGATATTTTAATAAAAAATGTATCTAGATACAGTACAGATACCACATTTTTATATCTAGATACAGGATCTAGATACTTGTATAACAACTCTGCAAATTAGTGTCATTTAGATTGTTATACAGCTGGATTTAAGAAGGGCTAACTCTAACTGAAGATTTTTGCTTATAGATTGTGGCATTAAAAGGGTTTCGAGAACTATTCGCGAAATCTCTAGGGGGCTTTAGCGTAATATTTTTCTGGCTAAAATGTTGAGTTAGCCGTTTTTAAAAAAGCAGTTCCGACAATCTTTCCGCGAGCTGGATCGAGCGGGGCGGTTCGGGCCAAGCGCCGGTTGAAGCGAAAATTTAAAAAATAATTTTTTAAATTACATTATATGGCCCAAAAATGTTTTTTTAAACTTGAATGGGTCTCAAAGTCCCGGGGCAAATCTGATCTAATTTTTTTTTTGTGTGAGTGTGTGTTAAGTTTTGGCGAGATTAATGATTAATGACCATTTATTTTTTAAAGGGGGGGGGGGGGGGTTAGCCATATTTTTTAGAAAATTTTTAGATAAGTTTATGACTTTTTATAAATTCAAAGTGTTGATGATGAAAAAAATAATAATTTAAAAAATATAATTATCCAGATATTAATATTTATATCATCATAAAAGATTTATATTACATTAATTTTTCCTATAAGTAATTTTAAAGTAAAATACAAGAATTACCCAAAAATTATGATTGATTTGGACAAAAAAAATTATTCTTCTTTAACTATTATTTACAATATCATTTTATCTATATTCGCAAATCAAATATTCTAAGTTATCGTATTTCGATTTAAAGATATATATATTTAAATTACATGTTCCAGAGAGAGAGAGAGTTTAAAATTGCGCAATTGTAAATACCGGAAATACAGAATAAATTAAGAGAAAAGAGAAGAGCTTTAAACTGATTTATAAATATGTGGGGCCTCGCGGCTGAATTCGCCAATTTGAGACTAGTGGGTACATTTCGCGTGCGGATTTTTTTCGAAATCAATGATAAAATAATATACGAATAAATAAAATATAATAGGAAACCTTCAAACCCGGCCCGGCCCGACCCATGTAACCGGCCTAAATTATAAAACCGCCGGAATTTTACCCGGCCCGACCCGGCCCATGTAACCGGCCTAAATTATAAAACCGCCGGAATTTTAGACTTAAACGTTTTGACTTATAAAAATCTTATAAATGGATCCTCTAACTTTCCGGGCAAGGGCTTCTAGACCGGCTCAAAAATAAATGGGAAAAAAAGTAGCCGGAAAGAAGGTATTGGTGAAAGATCGTCATTGAAATTGGATAAGGGATACGTATAATTATCAAGTTGCTAAAGTCATTCGAATATATTTGTGGCAGTGAGTTAGGCTTGATTTGGTAAGGGGATGGGCAAAATTGGATATCTTCATTAGCTTAAGGGGAGGAAAATGGGTGAAGGTCTTTGACCAAATGTAAAACGGGCTTAGGCTTATCTACCCTTCCTAATCCTTACTTCCGAAGCTATAAACCCGATGCGTGTAGATGTTTAGAAAATTATTCGGTTTGTTTAATTAGATGTATATAAAATTAAAATGGAACTTACACCGCGTCCCCTCTGAATTTGATACCTTCCCATTTATAAGTAATTCCGGATTGCATGTTTAAAATTTTTCGTGGTTGAAAGAATTAATTCTAGATGATGGGATGTGTTTTGTTGAAATATATTGAATATAATATTTAAAATAGATGATATCCGTTTTCGAACTGGGGGGCTATGATGTTAGACCCTAAAAATCCTGGAACTTATTTATTTTTTTTATTTAGACCTCTTGCTCTTCTATTTAAAAAATAATAAAATATAATTTATTTTTTTTTTCAAAAGATAAAATATTAAATATTTTAGGAATTATTTATTATATAATAACTTTTTTTAATTGAAATATTGATTAATAAAATATAAAGAGTTGAAAGACATATGCTTAATATATAATCTTTTTTCTATTTGATAAATCAAACGCTTACTTAACTGGCTATATTAATAAAAAAAAAATTATGTTTATTACAAACTAAACTTATTTTTCCAAAAAAAAAAAAATTATTTATTTTTAATAAAAGAAGAAAAAATCATTGATTTTTTGATTTTTTTTTTAAACTTAAAACATATGTAAATATAATATTTTTTAAAAAAAAAATTATTTCAAAAATAATAAATACGAAAAATGTTTTTTCAAGATCAAATAAACAATAAAAAAATAATAATTTTAAAAAAAATATTAAAATTTAAAATTGAAACCTCATTTTGGCCAATTAATAATAGGAAGGTAGTGGTCATTTTATATGTAATCTAATATTTTAATAAGCTATTTTAAATGGGAGGTTTTTGGCAGCAGATGTAATTTACTGGGACCTGGTAAAAGATAAGATAAGCTTTGTTTTAAATTTATAAAATTTTTCGCGTAATTATAATTGACAGAGTTGTTAAAGGGTATCTAGATCCTGTATCTAGATATAAAAATGTGGTATCTGTATCTAGATAGATTTTTGATTAAAATATTTGTATCTAGATATTATTTTAGACGATGTATCTGTATCTAGATCCATTTAAAAAGTATCTTTTAACAACTCTGATAATTGATCTACAATTACTGAGAAATGTTATAAGTATAATAAGTGAAAAAACTGACAAAAAAGCAACAAAAAAACTGTTTTTTTAAAGCGAAGAAAAAAAATATTAACAAAAGCATGCTTAAATATTATTTTACCGAAATTTATAGTGTTAAAAGCAGAGTTGTTAAAAGATACTTTTTAAATGTATCTAGATACAGATACCACATTTTTATATCTAGATCCTTTAACAACTCTGGTTAAAAGTAATTAGTTACTTTTTATGAATGTTACTTTTTTAAAAATATGTTAAATAATTTCGTATTGGGATCATAATCGTATTTCAGCGCTGTATAGAATACCCTAACGGTTATTTTCAAACAGTTTCGCCACATACTTCAGAAACGATAGGTTTATGTCAAGAAATGTCAAAAATACGTAGGGCAGATTAGAGGTCTGTATTGGCGGATTTTTTTTTTAAATATCTTAAACATTTTACTGGTGACGGGCGGGTCGAAAAATTTTTTTAGAGTGATTGGCGTGTAAACCTTTTGAGGATTTCAGACGAAATGAGCAGAAAAGACTTCAATTAATTCGTAATATTTGCATATTTTTATATGTTTTCAATTAAAAATACATTTAAATAAGTAAATGGAGAGCCAAACCAGCCATTAAAATAATTTTTAAACATTTGGCGCGAATCATCCTCAGCCAAATGATTTAAAATTAAGAAATTAAGAAATTCTGAATACTCAGGGATTCCACTCTTCCAATCTATGACATATATCTTTAATCTTATTTATTTTTAATTAATAATTATATCTTTGTTAATTCGAAATCAAAATGGTTTCAGATGATATAAATAAATGTTAGTTAATAACTGTAATAATTAAATTATATATATATATTTATAAAATTATATATTTATAAAATTTAAACAAAATAGATATGCAATATATTTTAAAAAAGGTTAGGTTGGTTCCTTTGGGAAGGAGGCTTACAATGAAACTAATGTAATTCCATTTATGGATGCTGATAGAAAGCCTCTGTCTTAGGTAAAAACGCTACCCGGGTTCGGTAATTTTACGGATATGTGAACAGAATTCTGTGAACGTGTAGATTAAAGTATAGGAGGTTTAGGTATAAAAATGTGCTCTTTGGATATTTCCGAATATTTATTTATTTTACACAGCTCTTAGATGTCAACTATGTTTGTGTTAAAGATCTGTAGGGGCTTTGCAGATTTAGGGGCATGTTGAATAACGGCATCGCATTGATTGTAAGGATACGTTTTTTCTGTGTGATTGGCAGTGTAGGCTATGCCGTTATTTTGAGTCGACGAGAGCACTTCAACCAGAGCAAAGGTGCGGTTGGGTAATCTAACAGCTGAGACGAATACCGGTATAAATGTGCGGGTTCATTTTTGTTGGTGAGTTTGCAATTTGCAATTGAAGTTTAAGAGAACGAGATAGCTTCGAGGACTTTGTGACCTGAAGTTATTTAGCAGTGACAAAAAAAGGAGGGCTATCGTGGGGACACATGATTGACAGTTTAGTTTGCAAGTGACAGATAAAGGGGTATCATCATGAATTCGAGATTCACATAGAGCTAATGCCTCGGTTTAACCGAGAAAGAACAAACAGATTTAAATTCCTTATGCTCAAGAGTTTAAAAAGTTTATTTCGTGTTAACATTGTTAAATAAATACGTTTTACCTCGGGGTATTTATTGTAAAATCAAATTGCACGTATTGATAATTTATGACCGAACCCTCAACTTTTACGAATAAATAAAATATTTTGCAATTTACATTTTGAAGCGATGAAAACATCTCTTAAAAAAAATTAATATACGGTTTTTATTGAATCTACAATAATAGCATAATATCACTACGGTTATTGAATCTACAAATGACAATATCACTTCGGTAATGAAGTTAAATGGGTAACTGATTTCACAATCCTACACCCTATCCCCTATTTTATCGTTAACTGATGATGTCCCATCGCCCGAATCCAAAGGATTGAGACAATCCAGTTGCTGCGTTGAATCCTTATTATCTAGCCTGCTCTCAACAGACCTTTCTCTCTTCACTTCTTTACATAATGGACGAAATTAAGAGCTTCTCTTAAGTATTTGAATTAGTAACTCTTAAGTAGTTACTTCTTCTTGCTAAAAAAAAGCAATTTTTAACAATACTAGAAAACTTGAAACACTTTCATAAATTTATAAAAATTAATCTTTCTTTATAAAAACAATTATTTTTTTCTTTTGAAAATACGCCTTCCCTTATAATCCCAAATCTAACAGAATGAACGCATTATAAAATTAAATATTCGTAGATTGTTTTAAAAAATCAAAAAAATTTTTAAAAAACATCCTTGTTTTTTTCGTTTGTTTTTTTTTTATCCATGGTTATCACCCATTCATCATGTAAAATAATAAACAGAAGGTGTTAGGAACACTATTTAAAACCGTCATTTTTTTTGCTTCCAAGAAAAATATATTTATTTTATTATTTTAATAAATAAGAATGCCAATCTTTTAGAATCCATATGGTTTACTTTTTCTTTTTTTTTTAAATACAAAACATCGAATGTTTTTAGATTTTAAAAATAAAATGGCCGGCTTAGAATTAGAGTGTTCCATATGTATTATATTTTTTTTAAGGTTTTTTTTAAAAAATTTGCGTGGTCTATTTTTCAATGACATATAATAATACCGAGACTGACGATGCATTCATCAAAAGCGTACGTGCATCGATGAAAAACAGCTGGGGACGCCATTTTGATTTCCCATATCATTTTAAAAATTTTAAAATTGAGAGGGGGCCAATTTATTCCTATGAAGAACTTAATTAAATCGAGATAATACGGAAGCAAGTTATCGTTAACAAAATGGCCGATCCAGCTGATTTGCTTTCAACGACTCTCATCGTCAGTCTAGGTATTATTATTATATGTCATTGTCTATTTCAAACATATAAAGACGTAGAAATTTTTTTTTTAAATCTGATTGAATAATGCTTAGAAAATTTAGTGTTTATTAATTAGGGTCAATTTTTAAAAAAAGGCCAGTTTAGGGATTAAGCCCAAAATAGTATTAGCCAATCTCAGAGGATTTTGCTCATAGGGTGGCAGAAAAGGTTAGAACCCTTTATTCGCCAGATCTAGAGGCTTGGCTAAAAATCTTAATCGGCCCATGTTTACAAACACTATTAGAGATGATATTTAAGCAACTCATCCATAACTTGCCCCTATAAAATAGTATTCTCAGAAAAATTTATTAATTATACCTTTGGGAAACGGAACAAAAAAACAATCTATATCTCCTTCAATAAAATAAAGTGAATAGGTTCCATATCCAAAAAAAAATTACAGGCCGCATTTTTAGAAATCGGATGGATAGATATTCGTAATTCTTATTAGTTTTAAGTATATGGAACACTATAATACCGTACTAATTGGGTGATGCAGGCATCGCTACACTCAAGCCGATCTCCAAAAGGGCTCAGCCGAAGAGGAAGGAAGGAAGGAAAGAAAGAAAGAAAGAAAGAAAGAAAGAAAGAAAGAAAGAAAGAAAGGAAAGAAAGAAAGAAAGAAAGAAAGAAAGAGAAGGGAAAGAAAACGCGACTGGGCCCCTTAAAAAAATTTCTGGCCCGGTCCTTAACCATTTTTACCCGCTCCGCTCCGGCATATAAAATAATTTTGGGCGAGTTATCGAACTCGCGATAATCTTTATGTGAAAGGAAGAAGATATTAATTTGGACTAATTATAAACTCCAAAAAAAAAGAAAAATTTATGAAATTCCGTCACGATCGATAAATATTTTTTTTGTGCAAAGGTAGCCGGCCCGAAATTCTTTTTTTTATGGACTTCCGGCTGAAGTGGTGCAAAAGTTTAATCGAGTTTGATCAACTAGCTGGACTCTAGGGGGCAATAGCCTATAGCGTTGTTAAAAACCAGATGATTAAGATTATAAACCAAAATAACATTATGCAAGCCTAAAGATTTTGCTCATAACTGGCAGAAATGCTTGAACATTCTATTTGCCACATCTCGATGCTTACAATAATATTATTTCAGCTAGAATCTTAATCGGGCCACAAAATTTCTAACAGGAGCAAATTTTATTTTTATTCCATTTTTTTTTTGGCCAATTTAGTTAGGCCAGCATTTTTAAGTGCGCAACGCGTCATGAATGGCCTATAATATTATTATATAAAAAATTTTCGAAAGAATATTTAAGAAAAAGCTACTTTATTCGCGTTAATTTAAAAAT